CTTCCTGTATCGTATCGTTATACAAGTTGAAACTATAGAACACACCTTAAATCTTATCCTATGGCAATTACGCATTATGCTAATTACTGATAGATATTTCAAACAGCAAAACCGTATTAAGGTGGCATAATACGATTGGTCAAATAAATTGTATTCTATAAATCATAGAAAATCGTCTTTGAAATCGTTAGCATATTACTGCATAGCTTTCATAAAATATGTGTGTACATTGTTATTTTCCACAAGTATTTGACTACAATTTTTGCGCATTTCTTTCAAATAGCCTGCGATGTTGTGTAGAAGTTAAATGATGTCAATAAAATCACGATAAATATTATCGCAGAGTTATAAAGTTAATTTTCAAACGTTTCCGTCACTCATAACATTAACGGTAAGTTATCGTAAAAGTTTGAAAAGTAGATAAGTAGATTACTACGAGTGTTTTAAACATAAATGAAGTTTAAGAAAAAAATTATTTGCAAAAACTGCAGAAAAAATTCCAAAAATATTAAAATAAAGTATAAACGTCAATGGATCACTACGATGTTTGAAAAATTCCATCTTACATTCTTACTATTAAAACAAAACAAATTGTATTCTTGAAAAAAAATAAATTATTTTTAGCCTTTGGGTGAATTAATACGTTTTATGGACAATATTCAAATATATTATTAAGTACCTACCTGCCTATAATACACGCTTATCATCCCTATTGCAATGATTTCAAACAAAATTAATATAAATATTATTTTAAATTGTCTTATACCTGCATAGTGCATACAAATATAATACCGATTTATTCCGGACTATTAAACTTGCTGGGGATAAATTTCAACTAATTAAAAGCTAGTCAGGGAAACTTAATAAATTATTTCACCTCAGTTGAGTTAAATAAACTAACATTTTATCTGAATAGGTTATTTTTAGCAAATTAGTTAGGTAAATAATTTATCAGGTGTGTCGACATAAACTAACAAAAGTAACCTATTAAATTAAAAAGGTATTATATTATTCAAAATTAACTTTTTACTTATAAAGCTTAGATATTGTATAAAACAACGCAAATTTAGTGAATAGTAAAAAAAATTGAAAAATTTTACTTATTAATTCATTATTGCTCAGCCTAATATAACTAACGTTTTTTTTTTTCATTTCTGTTATTATATTATTGTAATAAACTCAATTATGTTAATAAAAATATTATATTGCCATATAGATTCACCAAAAATGTTTTAAATATACAACGTTTGTATATTTTAAGGAAAAATATAGTATAATATATTATGATATAAATATTATATTATGTAATCAAATGTTTTATATTACATTATTATTTTTATTTTATTTGAAGGAGTATATTTTTTTTTCTATATCCATCATATTATACTATATACTAATGGTAACAGTGTAAACATAACAAGAATAACTCAAAATGTAATTTTAAAAACCTAATAATATATCATATTATATTCATTTTTATAGAACATTAACTGAATTAACTCTAGTGAAATGACAAAATCCTAAAAATATATTATATTTTGTAATTCCGTGTATTAATAGGTACGAATTGTAAACATTAATCATTTTTTCTCAGAAGACATTTTTTTATTATTACTATTATTATTCATTTAATGTTTTTGTATCAAAAATACAATATTTTATATTCAAACTATTTTTCACAAACTTTTAACTACCTACATTTTTTGTCCAACAGCTATTAATAGGGAACAGACTTTCGGGTATTTTATAATACAAAAAAAAAAAATTCTCTCTGACCACTGTTGCCATAATAACTCACCTCCAGCAAAACAACTCCAGGCACTTCAAATAATTATCCCGGTGTATACCCGTCACGTGCCGAATAGCACAACAATCAACCCGTGTGTAACCTGGCTATATTTAATTTTTCCTTCCCCAAGACGTTTAACTGTAGCAAGTGCTGTCTGAATACAACCGTCCGTGTGTTATTATTGTATTATACTCGAGGCGTCGGCCATAATCTTCTTAACGCGATATTAATTTAATATAATCACAATATAATAATCCCGTCCTAACGCCCTCGGCGGCGGTGTTGCAGGTCACCGCGGACTTGTTCGAACCGCAGAAAACACGATTCGTTTGCAGGTCTATCCCTCAGTCGGTCTTTCTCCCTCACGCCCACCCACAGTAACACAGCCACCCACCTTCACTATCACGGTCACCCCTTCACCCGCAGGTACAACGCAGTAGTACGACTCCGATGACCCGTCGCACGTCAAAGCGGTCATCGTGGGTCACAGTCTGTTATCCGGTATACGATCACCGCATTGATCACATATTCACATTCCAGCCATTCTACGTGTACTTGTGCATACATTACACACGTTCGTATGAATATTCAATTAATTTTAATACATTACACAATAGCGATCCATCCGGCGTGGTGTATTTGGACACCGCACCGATTCGGCCCCGGGGGATCGAAATTCGTCGTTTTTCGCTCCTGAAATTCGTAACGAAATTCGAATTTTTTTTTAAGTCTTTAATTTGCGTGTAGGCATCCGTCACGATCGGCGCCAGTTGCGGAATTTGGTAGTACGACGCGAGCTGTAGTGACGACGCGCCGTCGTCAAAGCAACACGACGTAGACACGATATTATTATTACTATCGTATTATCAGTCATCACTATCATAACTATTATTATTTTGTTTTTGATATAACTATTGTTGTTGTTTTTTTCTCGTCGAGAACTCCAAGGAAAACAATATGAACCGATGAGCTTACCGATCAAAAATTATTTTTATATTATTTCATTCCCCCATTATTCGATTTCAACCGTAACGATGTACACGCCAGTTCTATTGTTTTCGTATCCAAACATAGTGCAAAAACAATGCACGTGATACTGTACGAACTAATGTTCGATATTGCATGACAGCCTGAATAATATCTAGATTACATGACAGAACACAATGCCCGATGCCCCTATCTCAACATGACAACATTTACTATATTTAAAATAATATTTTTTAATTAAAACTCTGATTTGAACAGTGTTCTACTTGACGTTTCTTTTTCTTCTAAACACAAATGGAAAACAAACAAAAGTCGCATCGGAATTATTAAGTATATATAAACAAATTCGGGTTTCGGTTTGTTTCTACTGCATTCTGTTTAAATATGTCTATTGACTAAAGCAGTCTTGGGAATTACTTCTTTTTTTCAGTCTGGTGTATACACACACATTATTTACGTGAAAGCAAAAAAAAAAAAGGAGGAAAAAAGATCGTGGTAAAACGAAACTGACAGATTTATTGTCGGGGTGTGCACTTTGACCGGCTCCTAAAGAATGACTAAGGGTCACCGAAAACGAATTTCGGTTAAACGCGAATTCAAAACGCCATCATTTCCTAATGACCACACCACACACACGTATAATACTCGGCAGAGGCAAAGATCCGCTTTCTCCCTTGGTTTCAATATGATAACTGCGTGCGTGAGCCACTTACAAATTTCAACATAAAGGATGGTGAAGCATAATCGGAGTAGAAAGGGGTCGGGTTAAAATCTTTCCCTTGCCCTATAATATGAATCTTCCGAGGTTTTTCACTTCTCTTGTCGGAAACACTATAACGAGACATACAAAACGTACGTGAAACTCACAGCTGACATTGAAAAATGTTAATTGTTATGCTTTGGTTATTTAAATAAATTGAATAAAAACTAAAAACACCTACGTGGTTACGCGAGATTCAAATGTTATATAAATGTACTAATTTACTATAATATTATAGTAAATATAATAGTCATTGTCTTTTTATTGTTGAATTATTAAAAATGAGTAAACTAGGCATCTGTGCTACTGTGGAATGGTAAATAAAGACAGACATGTGGAATAAATTGTGTTATAAGTTAATCTATTTATAATCTTTTATATTATAGGTATATAAAAGAAAAAATGACTGACTGACATGTGAACGCACACGCCAAACCAACGGGTATGGAAACTTAACATTTTTCACAGAGATTACTTACACAATATAGGCAAGCATTAAGAAGGGGTTTACGAAAATCTATCTCCTACAGTGGGAAAGAAATGTAAAAGTTCGTATTTTTGACACAGGTCAGCTCTAGAACCACTATCATCAAGTGTTTTAGATTCTGATAGTGAAAAGATGAATGTATTGATTTTACAATGATGTGTGTTTATTTTTTTTTTTTTTGTTTCTGTGTACACGATAAGTAGTTGAAATAATGTTTCCATTTTCGACTTTAGTATCTTGTTTGATTGGAAAGTGAATATCGTTGGTGCATTGGGGAGGTCAAAATTTAAAATTCCCAGTACTTTTCAAAAGCGCCAAGAAAAACAAAAGAAAAATTAAGGAAAAACGGGAATTTTTACGCAAAATCGATTTTTCAGAAAATTGAATTTGGTTTTTAGTGTAACTTTAAAACAAATGACCGTAGATACATGAAATTTTCACTGGTTGTTTATATTTGCATTTTCTATACACGATAACATTTTCAAAATATTTTGATTTATTTTGAACTGTTTAGGGACATTTTCATTTTTCATTTTTTTTTAGTTTATTTTCTAGAAAATTGTCCACAAGCCAATCCCGACGACGCGAGCCCGCGAAAATACCTACCTACTCGAAAATGCAGGTAGCATAGCCGGAAATCCATTCTCAACAAATTCCAATCCAACTCAAACACCCCCTCCCCCCCCCCCCCTAAATAATAAAAGAACTTTTAGGTTTATACTTGAGTGGTATAACTAAAAAATAAGAATTTAATTAATAAATGTTGTACCTATAACATATGTTAAAAAATGAATATACATTCAGATTTATAAAAATAACAAACATCTTGTGGCCAAGTGCATAAGTGTTTGGAAAATCAATAATACGTATAGATATATATTATAATAAATCACGAATAATTGCTAATCCGTAGTTAAATCGAACTTTTGTATAATATATTAATATTTATTTTGCTTACATAATCAAAATATATCAATATGTCAATTAATATTGCCGCTCAAGAGCAGACGTCGTCAGACAGCAAATCGGTATCCGAGACTGAGAAGATGCAAATGACTTTTACCGAACTTAGGTCGAATAGACCAAGATCGCTAGACAGCTGCGATTTCCGTAGATTGCAGCTGCACAAAAGATTTATTTCTCTACCAAATATGGACTTGAGTAAAAATTCCACGGAAGGAGCACCTACAAAGGACGGTTGGAAATCCGCACCCAACTTGATGTTACCGGAGCAGCTCAAGGGAATGGATGTGCGTGAAAATTCCTCTGGCGATGTTCCAGAAATTGGATTGTCGTCCGCGGAGTTGCCCGTTTCGATGGAACTTCTATCACGTGATGAATCGTCTGTTCCTGCGACATTGATGCCACCTGCCGCTGCAGAAAACGACCACTGGATCGAGACGCCGTTGTCTGTCTCGTCGCCGTTGTCCGTCTCGTTGCCGTTGTCCGTCTCATCGCCGTTGCCGCCGGTAGAAGCCGGACAAACGGATACGGCAACCAGCAGTGGCCGTAGTGACGCGGGGACGGACCACCTGGCGGTAACCACGGTCGCGTCTAGGCGTTCACTTTGGAACCGGACGAAGCGGTTCGTCAGGCGTACGTTCTGCTGTGGTGCGACCGACAGCGCAGATGAATAGTGTATTAGTGTTTATAATTGTATTGTATTATTATGATATACTCTATTCCAAATAAGTATGAAAAAAAATAAAAATGTCCGGTTTCGAGCAGGTATGTCACGTGATCTACCGGAAGGCGTATCTCACGACGAGTAATGAATCCGTAGCCAAAAACCTAACCACAGCGCGGACCTGCATGAGCGATGTTTTCCAGACAATTTACATTTCACATAATATAGGTACAATTTACATTTTAGGTACATATTACTATACTAAATACTATACTCTATTATTTGGAATAGAGTATAGTATTTAGTATAGTAATATGTACCTAAAATGTAAATTGTTTATTATGTAAAATGTAAATTGTACCTATATTATGTGAAATGTAAATTGTTTATTATGTAAAATGTAAATTGTTATTATGTAAAATGTAAATTGTATATGACATGTATATTGTATATTGTATAGACATGCGATTAAAGGGCCACTTGATACATTCATCTAATAATCTATATAGTTTAATTTCTACTTTAGAAAATCGACACTAGAAACATTGAAAAATTAAGAACTTAATATGGATAATTTATTAACTATTACGTCAATGATTGACAAGGTGATTCAATCCAATTGGTCGGTTGTGTTGATCAGAAGAAAGAATTTTCTAAAGCCATATTGTCCGGCTTTTTGTAGTAATAATATGTTTTATTGTAAAAAGAGCCAATTATAAAGATACTATGAGTCTAGTCTATGACTAGTAAGGAAAAACAAAAAAGAAACAGTCAAGTATCCAAACTGTAGTAAATAATAATAATAATTATGTAAACGAAACAGTTTACCTATTTTTACTGTTTATATGTACATTTATTACGTAAATATAGAACATTAACATTATTTTTGTAATTTATTTTTAAAGATAAATTAGCGCTGAATACGATGGTGTAATTATAATTTAAATACGATTTTTAGTTTTTGAATTATAATTTTTTAATGGTAATAAAGTCAAGTATGTCCCTATCTAATACGGGTTAATTAGAGTGGTAGAGTTTGACCTCCTTATCTCTAGTCTTCGTGTGTTCTACAATACGGCACACTTACCGTTCATAACCGCACATTTTAAATCGTTCAATACCGCACACATTTATTCTATTGTTAAAAAGGGAAATTTGGAAGGTCGATAGTTCAAAACCGCACACATTTGATTGACAGTTAAAATTTAAACATATTTTATTGTTATTAATTAAAAAAATAATTTAGTATTAATTTCGTTGCTATTAAAAAAATAATTTAGTATTAATTAAAAATCATAATATAAAATAATTCAATATAGGTATAATTAAATCGAAATAAACTTACATCCTAATGTTTTTAAATACTCAATCAAGCTGATTTCGTTTTTAATGAAACGGTCATAAACATTTAAAATAGATTTTTCTTTCTCCCTGCTTACTTTGCGTGTACGGTTCACATTGCCGTTTCGTATGAGGCGAAATTTGGTCTCAGTAATTATCTGTTGTTGTCTTAACACATCTATCTGGAAGAAAAAAAAAACAAAAATAATTTAATAATAACTGAAAATATATTTATAATTTTAAATTCATATTCTTACCGAATGAAATATAGTAGGATGTGGAACATAGAATTCATGCCTAAGTTGACTATGGTAACTTTCTGCGCCGTTCGTCGTTCTTGTACTTTTATTGGGCTCTTCTGCCCACAATATTGGTGAAAAATTATTGGTTTCAATATAATTATCCAATATGTAATCAGCAAAATCATGATATTGTTTTTCTTCTGGACAAGTAGCCATTATCTCAATAAACGCCTCAGAAATCATATGTGAGGGTAAATAAGGCAAACCAAAAAAAAGTTTTAACCATAGTCCAGATTGTGAATTTTTATCGTCGTAGTTTTTTTTTAATATTGGAATGGAACTGATTTTTCTGTACCATGCTTGACCAAGATGGAAACGACAGGCTTTAATAATAATTAAAGGAAATACTTCTTTAGCAGCAATGTGAGCACCAAGTTCAAAATCTAATAGTAAGAGTGAAGGCTGGAATACACTATTTGCATTATTTAAACATAAATCTTTTATTGTTTCCCACATTTGTTTATAAATATCTTTTGTTTTTGATGGCAAAAAACAAAAAACAAGTGGTACGTAATAATTTTTACAAACACCGTGGATGGTATATTGTTGATAAAAATGTTTTGGGCAATAAGTAAAAGTTCCGTCTGCTAATATAAATTCAATTTCATTGCATAAAAATTGGAGATTTGTTTTACATGTCACTATAATTATTTGAGTGGACTCATTCACAAACACAAATTGTTCACCATTATTTAGTGTGATGTTTGATTCCTTTACCTTATTAAGAGCATCCGAGAGTGACACAGGCACAGGGGGTAGAAGTTTTCGTCTTTCACGATACATAGACTGTCTCATAGCATCAATATTATCTGCACTCACTGAAGACGTACATAATTCTTTCCTTATAATTTTTAAAGGTTTTTCGTTTAAATCCAATTTCGATTTACGTTTAACGGCACATCGAATTTCTTTTAATTCTGGGTTAATTTCATTTGTTTCATGGTGATGTTTACTTTTATTCTGTTTGATGAATACATTTATATTTGAATTTGTCGTCACCATAACACTACATAACTTATTATTGCAACGCCAAACTAAATCCCCGGAATTTTTATTAGTACGAAAAAGTCGATATGAATACTTTTGGTAAATTATTGATTGCGCACCTTTATTATTTGTGTACACTTGTATCACGTCATCCATTATGCGAATTCGATATTAAATTACTATAAAATATGTACGTGAAGTCGAATATAGTCGCGATCACACTAAATGTTGGTAACTTATTAGGTACTAATATTTGGAAAATAAAAACTATAATCGTATATATTATTTTATTTCTTAAACGTGTAGATATAACAATCTGCGTATAATCCCGAAAGTTTTATTTTTATTATTTTGTGATCTTGATTAAATATGATTAACTGGTGTGCGGTACTAAACGATAATGTTATTTTAGATAAATGTATACGTTATTGATATATATCAATGTGTGCGGTATTGAACGGTTTAATTTGGTGGACATATAGTTATTAAGATAAGAAAGTGTGCGGTTTTGAACGACGACCTGTTTTTGAAAGTGTGCGGTTATGAACGACGCCCCTATAATATTTGGTTATTATTTGATAATATTATTAATAAATATGTCAACACGGTTGTGTAAAATTAATTAATGTGGCTTGTGGAAATTCTAGATATTTTGTTCAGGTATACTTACGGTTTTTTTTAACCAGTGTAAAATCTAACCAGCAACTTTGTATTGAATTATCAAGCTTTTTGACCAAAGAACAAAAAGTGTTATTAACAGGGTACCTACGTCGAAAAAAACCAAAAACACTGCGATAATATGGAAAGAATGATATGTGCAACATTGATCTCCGTGGTTTTGCATTTCTCCAAATTGCTTAATAATTATTTTTTTTTTTAATTTAAATTTATAGAACACAATATTGTGCAGGTTTTAAGCATACGTTAATAGACACATCCTCGTTTCGTGTAACATTGAACGACTAGACATAAATACACCCATGAAGCGATGTGACAGGTTTTTGAAGTAATATATTTTCTTTAGAACCAATGACTTGATCGTGGTTAAAATCTGTATTTCTGTCATACAGTTAGTCATTACAGTTCAACCGAAATATGCCAAGTGCTGTATCCAATTCCCCACAGATGTGTTAAGTTGTCAAGTGTCAACAAATCGAGGTTCACCAACACTGACTTTACCGTGAAATTAGGCACCTACACTGAACCGAAATACACAAAGTTCTGTATTTTATATTTCTTTCCAAGATTACACGTGAAACAGTTACTACCTATACAACTATAGCAGGTTATTTAATAAAAAGTAAAATGTTCATACCTACACACAATTTTAAAACCAGTACCTATTGATTAATATGTTAAAACCGTATCGAAAACGGAAGAGACGCAGTTACAGGCTAGCAATATAATTTATTATTTAAATATAGAAAAAATATAAATGCAATGAAACAATTAAATAAATAGTCTGTATAGTCAATACATAAAACACGTATTGAATAATAAACTATTGAACTGACGAGTGTTGTTAATCTGGAAAATATGTATTAGACAAAGATTTAAAAATGCCGTATACAGGTATACTATTATAATTTATATAAGTACAATCAATATGTAATGATCATAGTTGAATAAATATTGTTCCAATAGTTTTCATTAGACCTGTTATTACTTCACTTAATTCACTACCTCAAGTACGTCTCAAGCCTTGGAATTTCAATTAGTTTCGTTATTAACTGTCATGACGTACCTGCAGTTTCTGAACTAAATTAAATTTTATTACTTTATACCTACTGAATTAAATCGAATCTAATCTATAATAGTAATGCGCAGTTTAATAAAATATCGATTTGGCTTATGAAACGACCGGAAGCTACAAAATCGAAATTCGAAAATACCAAAATACCGCAATTGAAATAATGAAAACCATGAGCTCTCCCTCAAAGTATATAATATAATAATATTATTATGTACCGTAAAAAAAAAAAATAATATTATATTTTCAAATAGAACTCGCAGTTTTTCAGGGGGACGCGAGGGCTTAGAGTGCACCATAAAAGGCTTACGTTGTTCCGGTTCGTGTGTCGAATGAACACAAAGAGAAAAATACAGATCACTGAACATACCACACCTAGGTCTTTAATCAGTGACACGGGTTCCAAATCACGTTCATTAATTTTCTAATGGAAAGAAATGGGATGCCACTGGCTCTAGGTACCGGAAAACGATCGATACACATTTCGCAGAATTTTTAAACAATCCATTACCCGCGGGGTCCGAACACTCTAAACAATGCAAAAACACATCTGCATATATTTTGATTTTTACACAGCAGCTATTATATACATGGTATATTATTAATGACGGCACATTATAATAGGAAGCAGTGTGACGGTGTAAATAATACATGACGGCGAGAATTGTAGAACAATACAAAGGTATAAGTTATAACCGACCAGCTATAATAAATCTCTAGTACAGCTATTAATATTCTATTAAAAAATTTTTCCCGTCAAATCTGGTTACATAATATTTTTTTAATCTTACATTAGAACGGATCAGTTGTTTACGAGGTGTTTTTGTTCTAAAAACTCGTAGGGGTTTTTTTGATAACAAATTTTAAACGTATCGAGTTGGTTTTTTAAGCAGCATACAACTTGTATAATAATATAATAGTTCTATATCATCAGACATTCAGACGCAATAACGAATTGATAATATTCACTCAACAGTGAAAACGAATTTCAATTATCATCATAGCTTAAAATCGTTTTCATATTATACTTTTCTACGAATCAACGAAAATTCATCATGCAACACAAATGTATTGTTCATTTATTTTTGAGCTCATTAATTATATTGTTTTGTACATTATAGTTAAACTTTTGACACGTTTAGTGAGATGAAATTTCACTGCAATATCATCCTCAAATTATTACGTCGAAACAATATTATTTGAGATGGAAAATTCTTTCATCCACCCTTTTCGTTATTCTTCTATGTTTCTGCAGAATGTTGTATTATTGATTTATTCAATTTAAAATAAAACAAAGCTATACAAATTTAGTATTTAGAAATATCAATGACTGTAATAATACCTACTTATATTACTATGATTCATATTTATGCAATAACCGAAATATAATATGTTTTTAATATCTAGTTCAGTCATATACTCATATACAATTTTCTTAATGCCAGGAGAAATAAAAATAGTAAATTGTTTTAAGGTAATATGGTACTATTATATTATGTGAATTTTAAACAAAAACACGACAATTCTGTAATTTATGTTTTTTTATAAGTATATTTATTATTTATATATTTTAAAAGCATTTTAATTAAAAATGCATTATCCAATATAAATTTAATTAAAATAAATTAACATTAGTTTTTAATTCCATGGCACGTGGGGAAATATGTGAAAGTAATCAACAATCAATATGGTTGGTTACTAATATTTCGATATTATATTTTATGTTTTTAAGTTCTATTAACATTATATAACGGATAAAACAATTTTACTAATTAACCAAACGAAGTATACTTCAAAATTGTACTGAACTGTAATCACCGTTGGAGTAAATCCAACTATCAATGCCAACAATCTATGATTAATAAGGCATATCTATAGTTTCTCTAATAATTTCCCCTTGAATGGTTTATGATTTAATTTTTAAGAAATTATTTCGATTTTAAACGATTTTATTATAAAAACAAGATGTTATATAATTGTGGCCAAAATTAAAATTAACAATTCGTAAATTATTTGGAATTGAAAATTGCATTTTATTATTTTAATATCCAGTAATTTATTCATAGTTCTTCTTTTTTTTAAAACTTTATATAATCACCAAAAACCTTTTATTATTTAATTTCACTTTTTTTCATGACTAATTTAATCTTTATAAACTATAATGAACATTATTCAATGTAATTTAATAATTATATTCGTCCATTATTTTTTTTGTTTTTAATTTTATTAAAAAAATATTTAATTATTAAAATACTGAACCCTCAGTACTAAACAACATTTTGGATAAAAATTATTCACAGCACAGCATTAAAATACTTTTCTTGTTCCTCTTACAGTGGCTTACCATTTTTAATTAAATTTAATATAAGAATATAATATGTTAACCACCTACACTATATTATAGGTAAACAATTAGAAAATATAAACTACAAGTTATGATATATACCATAACCAACCAGTTAAAATGTGTTGTGCAATGTACAAACACGGTAAATGTCTAATACTATTATCAATTAGCACGATATCGTTACAATGTACAGGATGATCCAACAAGCAAAATTTCCAAAATTGAATGTATGTCCTTTAGCTATAATATTCATTTTTTTTTTTTTTTTTTGGAGGACCAGCCTTTTTACTGTACATTGAAAACATAATTTGAACATAAAAAAGTTTGGATAGCCAAATGGCACTCATTAAATGACAATGAAAATATACATATCTGATTATACAATATAAGGCTCAAGAACAGCTGGTATTATAGGTACTTGAGAATTATAAAAATCAGAATTTTAACAAATTCATAACAACAAAGGATAAAATAGAGTTGAGCATGATTTGTGAAAATTTTAAAATCATGTCTGTACCCCATCCTACAAATTTTATCTGAGTGTGATTCGTACCGAGACGGCAACGCCATGTTATATTTGTTATAGATATTATAATAATAATATTATGTTTTGATGTAAGTATTCCTCTCTAATATTTCTGTGTTTTGGATTTGAAAATAATGGGTTCACATTGCATTTACCTACGTGCGTTTTACCCGGTGGCCATTTCTGTTACGAAAAGCTCTCAGTTGTCCTGCAAAAATATTTTATCATAATATATTGTCGTCTCTTACATCACTTCGGATGTTTTGAAGAAATCACCGAAAGTTAGCGTGATGAATAGTCGCACGGTGCTTTATGAAATGTGAGTGACGTATCTCATATGTGTTGCTTATTCTGTCAGACCCACCGAGTAAGCTTCACACAGGTTACAGATAGTAGAGGGATGGCAACAAAATCATATAGTGTCCCAACTCCCAATTATCTAATAGGATAATTAGTTTATTGTATACTTTGAAAGTAGATAACGTCGGGCGGAAGAGTGTTACTGAAAAGTGAAAAGTAGTCTGTTTTTATTT